CCCTTAGATACAGAACCCGGCCCTTGTTGCTGCCAACTTAGATGGGCAGAAGGGTTATACTATGATGGGAAGGGGTACTAAAGGTGCCCTCAAGTGGGGACGGGGACTGTGCAGCTGACACTCTGGGCAGGAGGCACAGTACCTCCACACTTCTTCATGTACTCCAGGCCAGAAGAACCGTCATAGGACCCATGCCAGGGTCTTCTCTACTCCCAAATATCCACCAAAAAGATGACTATGGGCAAGACTTAATACAGCGTTCTGGTGTTTCTGAGGTACTAGGATCTGCTGTACCTTCTGCCCCTGTACTGGTGCAACCCGGTAAAAGAGATCCTTCTTCATTATGAAGTAGGGTCCTGGTCCCTGGGTTTTCCCTTCCATGGGGACCCCATCTATTTCGGTCACCTCCTTCCTAATGTTGTCGTACCTTATGTCTTCAGCCTGGTCCCATCCAAAATTTCCTCTCACAGGGCTAATCTGCTTGAGAGCTAGAGGCCCAGTCTCTGTTGCCTCTACTGGTTCAGAGGCGTTAGGGTGGGAGTCAGACTCAGGTGCTTCTCCCTCCTGGGCGGCCTCCTTTTCAGCTGCTCGGGTTCGCCTACCTACGAGAGCGACCCTCTGGCTTTGGGTCAGTATTCGGGTTCCCAAGGCCTTAGCTGCCCTTCTTTCCCTTTTTGTCTTTCTACCCTGTCTGGGAGTGGAGAACAAATCTGGGGATATTTCAGAGAAGACTGGGGGTTGACAGTCTACTGAGGATTCCTCACTAACTTCAGGGTTCCCCTCTTTCTCCAATCCTCCTACTGGGAGTAAGTCTCCAAACCCTGGGAAGTCCCTCCCTATGAGCACCGGATATGGGAGTTTAGGGACTACACCTGCTGCTACCTCAGTAGTGTTCCCCTGGATTTCAATTTTTACTGGGATGGTCGGGTAGTAACTAACTGTTCCATGGACGCAGGTTATCCCCGTACGTTTAGCCTGCAGCAACTGACTACGCTTCACGAACTTTCCTGAGATAAGCGTGATAGCACTCCCCGAATCAACCAGTGTTGTGGTCTCTACCCCATTTAGTTTCACCGGTCTGGTGTACATATGTGGGGTTAGCGAGACCCCCACAAGGTGGATTAGGGAGCATGGATCTGCCCAGTTCCCCAGGTTACACTGCATAGGCTCCTCGGCATTGGGACACTGTGCAGCTATGTGTCCCCACTCCCCGCAGGCATAACATCTGTATGGAGCCCTAGACGTTCCCCGGTCTCTTGGTTTGGGCAGTTTAACATCACGATCCTCTTCTCCCTCAGTGCTCCGACTTTTTGTGGCTTCTGGTGGGCCTTCAGCCCCTCTCTTTTTCCACCTGGGCTCTCCTGGTGGCCCAGTCACCCGAGCTCTAGGGCTTGGTGCTGTTAGTTTAACCCAGGGTGCCTCTTCCTTAGCTGGTCGGGTCAGCTCCCTTGCTGTCCTTCGCCTCTCTACCAGTGCAACAACCTCATCTTAGGTGGAGGGCTCGTTCTGGCTTACCCAGGCACGACGGTCTGGTGGTAGTCCCCTCATGTATCGGTCGATGACTAGAATCTCCAGCATCTCTTCTGGACTGTGGGACTCAATTTGCAACCACTTGCGTGCGTGATGGATGAGGTCATACAATTGGGACCATGGGATCTTGTTTTCCTGGTACCCCCACTCGTGATACCGCTGGGCCCGCACTGCTGTCGTTACCCCAGATCTGGCCAGGATCTCTGCTTTCAGCTGGGGGTAGTCTGCCGCAGCCTCTTCGGACAGATCATAATAGGCCTTCTGGGCCTCCCCACACAGGAATGGGGCGAAGATGCCAGACCACTGATCTTGAGGCCAAGCCTCCCGTAGGGCTGTCCTCTCAAAGGCCAGAATGTATGCCTCTACATCATCCTCCCGCATCATTTTCTGCAGCCAATGGCTGGCCTGTATGATCTGCGTCCCATCATGGCCGCGGTTCAGCTCTGTAAGGGTCTTTACCTGGCTTACCAGTTCCCGCAACATAGCACGGTCCTGAGCAGCCTGGTCCATCAGCAGGCGATTAGTCTCTTGCTGCAGCCGCACTGCCTCCTGTTGGGTGGCTGCCTGGACACGGGCAGCCTCCTGCTGGGCCGCCGTAGCTTGTATCAGTGCCCGTACTACGTCATCCATTGTGGTGAAAAAAAAATAAACCCTCTCCCTTTTTTTTTAAATCACCCTCCTTCTTCCGCCACGCTGTGCACAACAGATCCCACTCCTGACACCAGTTGTGACAAAGTTCCTTCTCTATCTTGGTGGGTCATGTGCTTATTGGTGGATTTTCTTGCCTCAGAGATTCACCATGTGGGTTGGGAAACAGCTCAGAGACCTTCCCCTCTGGTAGAACCCACAGTCCAGGTCAAATTGGGAGGTTTGGGGGGAACCCGGTCCCACCCTCTGCTCTGGGTTCCAGCCCAGGGCTCTGTGGACTGCAGCTGTCTAGAGTGCCTCCTGGAACAGCTGCACAACAGCTACAATTCCCTGGGCTACTTCCCCATGGCCTCCTCCCAACACCTTCTTTATCCTCACCACAGGACCTTCTTCTTGGTGTCTGTTAATGCTTATACTCCTCAGTCCTCCAATAGCACATCCTCTCACTCCCAGCTCCTTACACCCACACCACAAGCTGAAGTGAGCTCCTTTTTTAAAACCCAGGTGCCATGATTAGCCTGCTTTAATTGATTCTAGCAGCTTCTTGACTGGCTGCAGGTGTTCTAATCAGCCTGTCTGCCTTAATTGTTTCCAGAAAGTTCCTGATTGTTCTGGAACCTTCCCTGTTACCTTACCCAGGGAAAAGAGACCTACTTAATCTGGGGCTAATATATCTGCCTTCTATCACTCTCCTGTAGCCATCTGGCCTGACCCTGTCACGATATAGATATAGATATAGATATAGATATAAGATATATATCTTCCTACTATATTTTCCACTGCATGCATCCGATGAAGTGGGTTTTAGCCCACAAAAGCTTATGCCCTAATAAATGTGTTAGTCCCTAAGGTGCCACAAGTACTCCTCATTCTTTTTATATTGCCTGTTAGTATCGGGGACTGGAGCAAATGTTGCTCTCAGTGACATTGCTGTAAATCCACAATAACTCCATGATTCTGGATTTACACCAGTGTCACTGAGAGCAGAATTCAGGCCTGTGAGAAGCTGTTGTTTGGTTCTGGTGATCACCAGCAGATTGGGGTATTTTGAAGGGAGACTGACAGGATAAAAATCAGGCTGGGATTTGCCAAGCATCTAACCTTGGTGGAACACATGTGTCTGGATCTATACAGCTCTGACATTGTCAACCCCTCTGTCTAAGGAGAATTACTAATAACCCTTTGGAGCATCAAACTTACACACTCCAGGTGTAACTGGGGGATAGCTGGACCTGGAGAGGATTAGAGCTCAGGTCTGGGCTCTGGCCTTGGCAATAAAGCATGGAAACGGGAGCCTGAGTCTCATCTCTGCTCATCCTCACATTTTGATACATGACCCAGAAGAGCCTGAGCTCCAGTGGTCATCTGTAGAAAACAGCTGCGCCCCCCCCCCCCCCGAACTCAGAACAAGGTGATTGACATTGGATTGTCAAAGGCCAGGTGACACCTGTCTGTCTATCCAGACATGAGAGCAGGTAACCCTGTGTCTGCTGCAGAGAGCTCACAGTGCTGCTGTGGGTCTGGGGTGACTCAGATTTTGGCCCAAACTGTTCACTCAGCCCTGCCCTGCAGTGTTGGTGCTTCTGTATCTGCTCAGCACCATGTGTGGCTGGAAGCCATTGCCCAGGGGCTCTATTGGGTGCTGAATGAACTTACCAAGCTTCTCACACAGGTCCTGGCACGCTGGGGAGAGAAGAAAAGGAAACCATTGTGGGTTCAGTGTGGGTTGTTCCAAGCACAGTGATGTAGGGTTGTTCCAAACTTTGGGTACGTCTACACTACGGCTGGGATCAAGCTTCCGAGTTTGGGCAGGCAGACACGTGCTAGCTCTGTTTGAGCTAGTGAGCTAAAAATACTCAGGTAGCCAGCAGTAGCATTGCAGCAGCTTGGGCTAGCTGCTCAAGTACAAACCCGCTTGGACTCCCCTGAGCCACTGTCCCTGCTACCCCACCCACATTGCTCTTGTTAGTGCGAGCTAACAAGCAGAGCTAGCGTCTTTCTGGCTACCCGAGCTGGGAAGCTCACTCCCAGCTGCAGTGTAGATGTATCCAGTGAGCCCAGGGTCTCAGAACTGACAGGACGTGTCGGACATAACTGTTAATGAACAATAGACAAGGTCCCAGATCAGCCCCTAAACAGAGCCCACAAATGCCCCTGGGGACAGCACCTTCCACTTACAGCACTGCCAGGAATGAGGGGAGGGAGCATCCTACCAGATGTATCATGTAGAGAGAGGCCTGCACTGCTGCAACCTGTCACCCGGCCTCAGACCTCCTATTTCTGTGCTATGCCCAATCCCTTTGTTGTGGTGATTTGGAAAAGTGTGTAACTCTAGGGTCAGTGTTTGGCAGAAACTCAGCTGGGGAAGGGCTCCGTGGGGCTGTGTGGCACTGGATTTACCATACATCCCTAGAGCCGTGGGATCAGATCCTGTCTCAGCTCCTAGTGGAACAATATGGGTGGTGGGTCCCATCAGAGGGTACCTCACAAAGCCCTTACACATAGTATAGTTTGGAGTCTCTGTTCATTTGAGGCCCAGGCCTAGAATATAAGGGGAAAGTGGGGGGGGGGCAGGACTGGGGAGCTCAGGGCTGCGTTAGTAGGGATGGGAGGCATGGGGAATGCGGGACACCAGCGGTGCCATGGGTAGTTCAGGGCTTGGATAGTGGGGGGGCTGTGGCTGGGGACTGAAGGGGACCAGCAGAGCTGCGTGCATGTGGGGAGCTTAGAATTCAGATAGAAGAGATTTTGCAGATCAGAATTGAGATATATCCACAGACCTGCATGGAGGAAGTTTGCCCAGCCCCTCACTAACTGTAACTGTAACTGTCCCGTCTGGATGCTGCTGATGCGCACTACATAGTACCTAATTCACACAAAGGTAGTCCTTTTCAAATAACACTATGTTAATGTAAACTAGGAACCTTTAAGTTCACATCCACAGCATCCACACAGGGTTTTTACAGCGCAGCACTTTGACGCGCGTTGCTATTCACACCCCCGTAATCTGAACTGTTGGGCAGTGTAGACAAGCCTGAGTCTCACTATCCCATATGCATTAAATTCACTCTCAATTGTTAAGTATGTAGTAAACTACCTGTAAATGGTGGGAGATAGGCAGTTGCCTTATGCTAATCCATGCAGCTAATTACCAGTGGTGCTTAGGAAATAGGAGGTCTTACTGCAAAGCCACGATGATCATCTATTATCCACCCAAGGAATACCTGCTGTCAAGTGGCTAGCAATAGCTTGCCAGTGATCTATAAAAGAACTCTGGGACCCCAATTCCGTTCTCACAGTTCTGCTTAAGCTTCATCAGGGGAAGTTTGAGTCACAAGACTAAGATCTCCAGCTCCAGTCTGGATCACCCTGATATTGGACATGCTTTGCATACTTTAGATTATAATCTGATGAACTGATTCTGGAAGAACTCTTTGCAACTCTAAAACTCACCTTCTCTACCATAAAACTGACCTAAGAACTCTATTCATATCTGTATGTATAATGATCTTTTAACCAATTCTTTCTTTTCTTTTCTTTTCTTTTCTTTTCTTTTCTTTTCTTTTCTTTTCTTTTTAATAAACTTTAGTTTAGTTAATAAGAATTGGCTGTAAGCATGTATTTGTGTAAGATCTGAAATATTCATTGACATGGTGGGTGATGTGTCTGATCCTTTGGCATCGGTAGAACTTTTTATATGATGAACAAGATTTTCAGTCATCCTCATCATGTTTGACTTGGCTGCTTGGGTAAGAGCCCAGGGCTGGGTTGCTTTAAGGGAGCTGTGGTTTTGGCTTCTGGGTAACCAGTAAGGTGTTGTAAAAGCTGTTTTGGTGCTAGATTGGTGAATCTAAGTATTAGAAATAACCACCAGTTTGGGGGATCATCTGCCCAATTCTTTGCAGTTTGCCCTGATTGAGCAGTCTCAGTGTGGCCCCCCTGGAATCCTGATCACAACGGATTTAGCCAAGTACCTGCATCCATGGTCTTCTCAATACCTGAAATGGGGAAGAGAAAAGCATTAGACACAGAGACACACACTGGGTGGTGCTGTACACTCCCTAGTGACTGGGGTTAGTCACAGACATCCCACTTCCGCACTCCCAGCCCCAGAGCTGGTGCCGGCAGGTTTGACAGGATCAGGGCTGGCGGTCAGTGATATGCACCAACATGCAGGAGACCTGGTAGAGTCTCTCACTCCTTAGCCCTACACACACACTTGCACCAGTTTAACTAATTAGGTTCCAAAACACACCTTGAGTTAAACTAGGGCAGGGCTGTGTGTAGAGCAGGCCTTGGGCTGGTGCAGCGGGGCTCGTAGAACAATGGGTTGAGGTCAGTTACTCCACAGTGACCCCTCTGGCTAGTTACAGAACAGCACTGATTGCTAGGGGAGTCCCATCCAGCCCTCCCAAGCTGGAGGAATGGTGACCACAAGGGGGCACAGCAGAGGGCAAAGGAGATGAAAGAGGGGGAGCCTCAGGGCTCTTCCAGGTTATGATTGCCATGAGAACCCCAGTCACCGTGCTGGCATGTTGTACCCATTCTCTCCACCTGTCATCTGTATTTCCCTGCATGTGTGCTCAGTGCCCAGCAGAACGGGTCAGCACCACTCAGCACCGTCACAATGCAAACCAATATTGTTACTAAATACTGAAAATTTCACAGTGGAATAAATTAGACATGTCCACTTAATAAAATGTTGTTGCTGCATCTATTGGCACATATGAGAGAGTGAATGTCACAGATTTGTAGAGTTTCAGGCCAAGCAGAACCATTAGTTCATCTACTCTGACCTACTGCAGATCATAGGCCAGAGAATCTCACCCAGTTCCCCCTGCATTGTGCCCAATAACTCAGATTTGACTACAGCAGCTTCCAGAAAGTTGCCCAATCTGGATCTGACACCATCAAGAAATGGAGAATTCTCCACAGCCCTGGGGAGCTTGTCCCAGGGGTTAATCACCCTCCCTGTGTCCTGTGCATTTGACAGTCACAGGGATGGAATCATCTCACAGAGCATCATTGACCTTGCAGAGTCATTTCCTTTAGCCACCGAGCAATTGCCCAGGGTTAGTGCGACAGAATATCACTCAGATTTGTCACTGCAAGCCCATCTCCCTGCTGCAGCCACGTGGAGGAAATCTCACAAGCACAGGCCCTTTGGGTTTCTGCTGCAAAATACACATTTGCCAACCTGTTACCATCAGAGTGTGTGAGAACATGGGGGAGATGAGGAACCACTAGGCAGAGACCTCCTGGCTCCATCCCTTTCATTGCACTGAGCCCACAGGTAACACCAAGTGTCACAGAGCTCACACATCTCAACAGATACAGCAAGAGATACAGCAGGAGACCTACCAAGATTTAACAGAGACTCCTCTTTAGAGCGTTTCTTCTGAGAGGCCTTTCGCTTTGCTGTGAAACAGAGAATCAAACATTGCAGTGAGACAGGGAAGGAAGGGGAAACGCTGAGCAATACACTAATACAGGTGGGGCCGGGGACCCCACTGTGTTTGTTAGTTTGGTTTATTTCCTAAAACAAATACAAGGTAAATATCTGAACAATAAAATGCTCCCATGCCCCAGCCCAGTGCCCTCTAGGGCCGGGTTCTAAACATACAAATAACACATTCCCATTACCTGTGTATCCAAAATATGCACAAGCGCCAGCAGCAATGAGAACCAGAGTGAACAATACCCAGAATGCAGCCAGCCAGGGAGAAACACGGGGGAAGATGTAACCTGGCAAACAGAGAGCACAGTGTGTGAGGAGCATGGTCCCATTCTAGAGCTGGAGAATGGGGTTTGCCACTTGGTTTCAAAGCTGAGTCCTGGTTCAGGGACCCCAGAAATTCCCAGGACTGAAGGGAATGTCCCTTCCATGCTATAATCACAGCCACAAATGGGAGCATTGGAACCAGAGATGCCAGCACAGCATCAGTTCCAATAACCATGACTCTGCTCTGCCCAAATCTCTCCCGCTGCTACAAGCTAACAGCCAGCAGCTGCATGCCCATCCCTGCCCAGCCCTGCCTGCACCAGCTGGCTGTTTGGATGGTCACTGTCACAGCCTTCCAGTTCTCAGTCACCACACCCAGTCCAGATAAGTTTAGCAGAGAACAATTGTTTTCCTAGCTGGCCCCAGTGTGTTCTGAGTTCATGGATTCACAGATGTTAAGGCCCGAAGGGGCCATTATGACCATCTATTCTGATCTTCTCTATAGCCTGGGCCAGAGACCCTCCCCCAGTGATCTCTTTATCCAGCCCAGAACTTCTGTTCCAGCCACAGCGGATCTTATAGAAAGAGACGCCCAGTTTGGGTTGAAGATTCCAAATGATGGAGAATCCACCATGTCCCTAGGGAAGTTGTTCCAATGGTTAATTCCCCTCACTGTTAAAATCTGCATCTGATTTCTAGTTTGAATTTGTCTAGCTTCAACTTCCAGCCATCAGATCTTGTTCTGTCTTTGTCTGCTAGATTAGAGACCTATCAACTGTCAGAAATCTCCTCCCTGTGTAGGTACTTACAGACCGTGATCAAGTCACCTTTTAACCTTCCATTGGATTCGCTCTATAACTTGAGCTCCTATGATTCTAACTATGAGGCAGGTTTACAGATCTCTAATTGTTCCTGTAACTATTTTCTTAGAATTTTCCAATCTGTCAATACCCTCTTTGAAAGTGTGGACACGAGAACTGGACACAGTACCCAGCAGTGGTCTGGCTAACACCACTCACAGGGGTGATGTCACCTCCTTTCTCCTGCTAGATATTCTCATTTATACATACAAGGGTTGCATTCACCATCTTAGCTCCGGCATTGCTCTGGGAGCTCACGTTCAAGTCCTTTTCAGAGTCACTGCTTTCTTGGATAGTCTCCCACCCTGCAACTGTGACGTATGGTGTTTGTTCATAGTCATTGTGACATTCCCCTGGTGTTAACTGGACTGGAGATCTGCTAGGTCACTCCAATTCTCAACTCTGGGAGCCAGTCTTACCCTGCTTTGCTGTGAGAACCCCCACTCCCGTGCAGTTCACCCACAGCCTCTAGCATGTAAGCTGCTCCCCGCTACGTGAGTGAGCATTTTTGGCCAGCCGCTGCTTGGATTGTACAACCAAATGACACTAGCCAATATCTCCGGTCACAAACACAACCCCAGGAACCTCCATCATGCAGTGTCCATATGAGTTCATCAATTTAACAAAGAAATTGATATGTATCAGGATTGTTATCCCAAGGGGAGCCTCTGACATGCTTCAAACCAAACACATTGCTTTAGATAGAATAAACAAACAAATTTATTAACTACAAAAGATAGATTTTAAGTGATTATAAGTCAAAGCACAAGAAGTCAGATTTGGTCAAATGAAATAAAAACAAAACACATTCTAAGCTGATCTTAACACTTTCAGTGTTGTTACAAACTTAGATGCTTCTCACCACAGGCTGGCTGGTTGCCCTTCAACCAGGCTCTCCCATTTGATCAGTGCTTCAGTCACTTGGTGGTGGTGTCTGTGGATGGAGGTGGAAGAGAGAGAAAGAGCATGGCAAATGTCTCTGCCTTTTATCATGTTCTTTCTTCCCTCTTGGCTTTTCCCGGTCTCCCTTCAGATTCAGGTGAGCATTACCTCATTGTAGTCCCAAACTGACCAAGGGAAGGTGAATGCCTTACTCAAAAGTCTATCAGATCCTTTGTTGCTGCCTAAGCCAGTGTCCTTTGTTCCTGTCAGGCTGGGCTGGGATTGTCCCATACATGCCCTGATGAGGTGTGAACAGCCCCTCTGCTCCAGGAGAGTTTTGCTTGGGATTGTTTTAAGCCTCGAAGACACATTTTTAGTCTCATAACTATATACATGAAATTACAACCTATAACATTACTATAACATTACTATAACAACAATGCTCAGTGCATCATAAGCCTTCCGAAGACACCCGACACGACAAACTTTGCACTGGATATCACAAAATCATACTATAAGGATGAACCTGGGAGTGCAGGGTGTCCCCCCGAGGTACAGAGTGTCACAGACGTGTAAACTTGTGAGGCAGGGTGCTCCTGGAGAAGCCCTTAATCAGTTCCTGCCACTCCAGCCCCAATCCAGGAAAATGGATTGGGGCTGGGAGAAGGGCCCTAAGTTTGCCTGGTAACTGACCACACCTGCCAGCCTCATTAGCACGAGCTATAAGGCTGGAAGGAAGTGAGAGACAGGGCAGGGGGAGAGGGGCAGGAAGCAGAGACTAAGAGCAGGAGGTCAGTAGGAGCCTCTTACTCTGTTGCTGGCCAGGCCTATGGTAGGCCAAGCAGTTGTAAAGCCTGTATATTGTTGGAAACTGGCGGTGGGAAACTGATCACAAATAAAGAACATGGGTGTTGCACCAGACTGAAGTGTCCCTGATTCACAGAGGAGAGGGGACAAAGGGCTGAATCCGGAGGGGGCACAGTGTGGACCGCGTTACATATTGGGGCTTGTCTGGGATCTCTGGCCACCACCAGGGCATGGCTACCTGAAGATGGAAGGAACCATGCAGTGGCTAGCCCAGAAACAAGAGGAGATGCAGAAAGCACTGCAGTCCTTCCAGCAGTCCCACCAGGTGGAGCGGCAGGCCTTACTTGCCTGTCAGGTTAAACAGCAGAAGACCCTCCAGGATTTCAGCAGGGAGCAGGCTAAGGTACAGCAGCAGCTCCTGCACAGGTTGGTGAGTCCCCAGGGAGGTGATGGCAGCCGTGCGCCAGGCTTGGGCTTATGTAAAATGGGCCCCGCCAATGACCCTGACGCCTTCCTGTGTATGTTTGCACAGGTGACCATGAGCACCGGGTGGGATGAGGCGACCTGGGCCCTGCAACTGGCCCCTATCTGTATGGTGAGGTACAGGCTGCCTATATGGCATTAAGTGATGAACAGGCCAAGGATTACGACATGGTGAAGGCATCTGTTGTAGACCAGATGGGGCTGTCAGTGGAAAAGTACCGACAGATGTTTCAGGAGGCCCAGTGGATGGGGGGTTTGCAACCCAGAATCTTACGGACTAGGCCATTCAGTGGTTGAGGCCAGACACTCAAAGGGTGGGAGAGACTATGGACAGGGTGATCCTTGAACAATTTGTGCAGGACATCCCAGAAAACAAAGAATCATAGAATTATAGAAGATTAGGGTTGGACGAGACCTCAGGAGGTCATCTAGTCCAACCCCTTGCTCAAATCAGGACCAACACCAACTAAATCATCCCAGCCAGGGCTTTGTCAAGTCGGACCTTAAAAACCTCTAAAGATGGAGATTCCACCACCTCCCTAGGTAACCCATTCCAGTGCTTCACCACCCTCCTAGTGAAATAGTTTTTCCTAATATCCAACCTCATTGCAACTTGAGACCATTACTCCTTGTCTGTCATCTGCCACCACTGAGAACAGCCTAGCTCCATCCTCTTTGGGACCCCCCTTCAGGTAGTTGAAGGCTGCTATCAAATCGCCCCTCACTCTTCTCTTATGCAAACCAAATAAGGCCAGTTG